ACATGTATGTGGAGACCCAAGGTTGACACTGGGTGTCTTCCTCAGCGACTCTTTACTTTATTCATTGAGGCAAGGCCTCTCAATCGTACCCAGAGCTAACCTGTCTGGCTAGTCTAGCTATCCAGCTTGCTCCGGTTTTCCTCCGTCTCTTCCTGGAGTTGCAGGTGGGCTGCCACACCCAGCCGGTATTTACAGGCTTGTGTAGCAAGCTCTTCATCCACGGAGCCATCTCCCCAGCAGCCCCTGTAGCCAATATTTTAAAGCCAACCCCCAGTAGCTTCCATCAGACTTAGAATAAAATCCACCCAAACTGGGTATGATGGCACACACCTATGATCCACACACGGGTTGCTGAGGCAGGAGAATTACTATGAGTTCAAGGCTAGCCTGGGTTTCTCGCAAGGCTGTCTTAGGCTACTCTTCTCATCCCTGTGACAGAATAGCAGACTAAAGAGACTTAATGAAGGAACGCTTTGTTATGACTCACATGGGGAGGAGACCACTTCACTACTGCATGCACAGTCATGGGGGTGGGGGAACACCGAGGAGCACCGTGGGGGCGGGCAGGAGAGATGAGGGTGCCGAAGCGATGAGAGCAGTGTGAAATTGTAAGAAAGCAGAGAGGAGACCGGGTGTGTGCCTGCCAGGGGCTAGCAGTCGCTGCATGTGGAAGAGGAACGGATCTCGCTGGCAGGAGGACATTGGTCCACACATGGGAAGCGTTCAGGGCTTTGGACAAGGGCTGCTACCTTTGTGTCAAAGCGGCCCCAGAGGGTAAATAAGGACTAATGGCTTGCATGGTAACCTCTCTGCTCCCAACCTGTTCGGCATCTCTCCCCATCCCTAAACACATGAGAGTTTCGTGCCTCCAGGCCTTCTTAGGCTTGGCAGGAAGGCAAGCCTCTGCCAGGCTTTTGATGGCACCCTTGATAACAGGGCTGGGAGCCAGAAAGAGAAGCCAGGAGTGGGAATCGGGCCCTGCCTTGGCCTCTGGCATCTCTGAACTGGCTCTGTCTTCACCAGCCAATTCTGGTGAGAGATTCTGGGAAGCAGGATGTTGCTGAGGCCAAGTAAACTCTCAACGGCCTGGAAGGAGTCAGGAAGCAAGGTGCAGGATGCCCTGCCTGCCCAGCTTCTCTCTGCCTTGTAGAAAAGGTCTCTGATTGCTCTTCTCCAGGGCTCTGTGGTCCTTGCTACTCCCAGCCAGGGCTCTGGTGATCAACATTTACGATGTTGCTCTCCCCAAACCCTGGGATGATGGTGGGAGGGAAGTTCTCTCTCTAGTGGTCTGGAGGGGACTGGCTTTAAGCTGCAGAGGCAATCTTTCCGGCTATTGGAATCATTCTACAAACAATGCGAGTTGGGGCGCTGCACCGTGAAGATGACTCCGGTTCAGAGCCCTCAGTGGCCCCAGGTTGGGCTCCCAGAGCCTACAGAACAGATCACAAAGGCCTGTAACTCCAGTTTCAGGGGATCTGACGCCCTCTTCTGGACACTGTAGGTACAAGGCACTCACGTGGTGCACTTTACATACCTGCAGCCAAAACACCCCATGCACATAAAATAAAATAAATCTTTTTAAAAATTGGAGGAACCAGGGAGATGAGTCAAAGGGGAAGCCCACTTGCTATATAAGCATGAGAACCCGCATCTGACTCCCCAGCACCCATGTAAAAAGCTGGGCATGGTTGCATGTTCCTAAAACCCCAACATAGGTGGACAGAGACGGACGAATCCGAGGCGTTCACTGGCAGGTCAGCCTAGCACAAAGAGCGAGCTTCTAGTGAGTAAGAGACCTTGTCTAAGGCAATCAGGTGGGGAGTGACAGAGTAACACATCCAACATTCTGACCTGTGTCCATATGCATGCACACACATTCACAAACATGCACTGTACACACACACACACTCATACACATGCTCACATGCAGTTTTGAACTGTACATTTAAGATTAGATGTTTAGTGGACAGGAGAGAGGGCTCAGAGATTAAATACACTGTTTTTCCAGAGGACCTAGGCTCTACTTCCAGCACCTACATGGTAGCTCACAGCCATCTTTAGTTCCAGCTCCAGGGGATCTAATACTCTCTTCTGGCTTCCATAGGTATGTATGTATGTATATATATATATATATACATACATACACATGTAGTTCACATACATACACTGAAAACACTCATTAAGATAAAAGTAAATCTTTCAAAAATATTTTAAAAACTTAGAGTGTTTAGGCTGGGCATGGTGTCACATGTCAGTGATCCCAGCCCTTGAGAGACAGAAGGAAGAGGAAGGTATGTTTGAAGCTAGCATGGGCTACATGGTAAAACCCTCCTCTCAAAAAGCAAAAGAAAATTAATGCTGTTTGTTACGTACTAATTTCACCTTGATTTTAGAAAGCAGGGTCTTAATTCAGCAGGGAGGAGGAATAGGGAATCCAAAGTTGTTCATCCAAATACCAGTGAAATCTGGTGTGAATGACTGGGGCTGACAAGACCATGGACACCAGAATGAACAGCGGCTCTCAGCTTATTCGGGAAGCAGAGAGCGGGGTCTGTATTCTTAGCCACACTCTTCTGTTACATCGCTCATCAGAAAGTACATAGTGGGCAAGTTACCAATCTGTTGATGTTTGCCTTCTTTCTTGCTAGACAGAGAGCAGCTTTGTGTATGTTCCCAATCAGATCTCCTTCAACCTGGCTTAGGCACAGGGGAAAGGTCGGCATGGTAGCTGCCTCGAAGGAAATCCTACAGTATTGGAGGTCAGCATGCCTGACTGGAGAGTAGACAGTGGAACTACAACCTCTCCAGCCCCTCCTCTCATGACCGGGGACCCGTGAGTGTTCTGGACCAGCCTGCTCTAGTCCACAGGTTTTTTTGGGGGGAGGGGAGGGATAGGGAGATCCACCTGTCTCCGCCTCCTGAGTGCTGGATTAAAAGCAACTCCAGCACCGCTCAGCTCACCCTAAAATGTTTATATTCTGCCACTGCCACCAACCACAGCTCTAATTGAATCTTGGGCTTAATGTATTGTTGTTATCTCTCTTCTAATGACCTTATCATGGCTCCTGGAGGGATGGTGGTGGTGATATGTTTCAGGAGGAGAAATGAACCTTGAGAAACCTAAACCAGAATTCGAGACACTGGTGACTTGCTGGGACATGGAGATGACGACATATGTAGGACCATTGGCCTCCAGGAGCTCAGTTTGTTGGTGTATGCCTTTAATCCCAGCACTGGGTGGGGAGGGGGTAGAGGCAGGTGGTTCAAGACCAGCCTGGTCTACAGAGTGTGTTCCAGGACAGCTATGGCTACACAGAGAAACCCTGTCTCAAAAAAAAAAAAACATGCAAAACAAACAAACAAAAAGAGCCTTCATCTTGGTTGATGTCATAAGGTGAAGGTAAAGACACCCAGCAAGGAGTCTGTAATTGTTCCATTGACTGAGAAGAAGCAGAGGTTGGGACCGTGGGAGTCATCAAAGTGTCTTAGAGAGTGAACCTTAGAAGCAGGACAGGAGGGCCCACTAGGCAGAGCAGGGCAGGGCAGGGCAGGGCACTTCAAGATACAACAATACCTGGACAAGCTAAAGAGCAGAGGGAGCCATGAGGACTCAAGGCAACTTAGGGTGCCGCGGCATCTCAGGGTGCCGAGGCTTCGTTGCTCGCAGCTGGGGTTGGGCAGGGTAGAGGACCGGAACTCTTAGCAGGGTAAAATGAACAACACCGTAATGGGTTTGGGCCACTTAAATGCCAGGGTAAGAAATTGGGGCCTCATTCAGTAGGTTGTAGAGAACCGTTGGGTATGTGTGAGAGAGCTGTTGAGTATGTGTCGCGATGGTGGGACTTTGACAGTCTTACTATATGATCTAGGCCTGGTCTCTGTGTCCTGAACACCGGGGCTACAGATATGTACCCTATGGTTGAGCTTCATGGATGATTCGGTTTTTGTTCGCATTTATTGCTGGACATTCCAGCCCTCACGTCCTCCCTCTGTAAGACTGAACTCAGTTACATCACATCTGAAATCTCCACACTCCTTCCTTTTCTCCCCTTCCTTTTTTTTTTAAAGGTTTATTTATTTATTATGTATACAACATTCTGCCTCCATGTATGCCCACACACCAGAGGAGGGCGCCAGATCTCACTACAGATGGCTGTGAACCACCATGTGGTTGCTGGGAATTGAACTCAGGACCTCTGGAAGAGCAGACAGTGCTCTTAACCACTGAGCCATCTCTCCAGCCCCCTCTCCCCTTCCTTTAAGCATCTTGAGACTCGGTTCCCTTTCTCCTAGCTTGGGCGGGTGTTTTTCAAGGTTCCCACACTCGCTCTGATTCTCCCACCCTTCTCTGGATTCTGCTAGATGGTAAATTCTGTTGATCCTCGAGACAGTATCTTGTTCATCCATGTGTCTCCAAAAACCCAGCACGGGGCACGCAAATGGGGGTGAATCGAAGAAGGAGGGTTGAGATGTGGATCCCCGGATCTCTCGGGCTCCTCCCTGTGCTCTGCTAAGTGGGTCCTCTGAGAACAATGGAAAATCTCAGGTGTCAACAGGGGTGTTTGACAGCCAGAGACATACCTTCAAGTTAAACAATCAGTCTCATATTTTCACAGGAAACAACCTGTCTACAGGAACAAATCTCCGTCTCCACATCTTCCTGAGAACAAAGTGAAGCCAGGTGTATTTCCAGGCACGCCTGGGAACTATGTGAGGGCCAGTGAGGCGGAGGGTTACTTTCCAGTACTATAACCCTCCGCTTGAGCCGTGTCACCTCTGCTGCTGCTCCGCAGACCACCAGGGGGAGCAATCTCACCGTATCTCTGGCCTTGGCAGGTTTCACGCATTCCAGGGTGTAGTCAGGAACTCTGGGAATTGTAGTCCTGGGATGGCAAGGCGGTCTATCGCGTGCGCCTCGGGACTTGTAGTTTAACTCTTAGGGGCAGAACATAGGTTTAAACTCGCATGCTGAATGAATGGAACTACTACTCCCAGAGGGCCACGGGCTCTAGGGCGGTGTCGGGTTTCCGTCGAGCAATCCTTCTAAGATTGCCTCAGAGTGACCAGCTTGACTGGGTAAGTTTGATTGACGAAAGCTCCAATTTTCTACTGAGCTATCCAAAGACCTTTTCGTATTCCAGCCTGGGGCCTTCTTGTCTCTCAGTCTCAGAACCTGCCCGCTAATCTTTGCTCTTCATTGTTTCCTATTCAGACAAGTCCCGTCAGAATCCACCCCGCACCTAAGCCCTCCTAGGGTCACCGCGGACTGCCACTCCCACGCCCCGAGATTCCCACCTTGACCCTCACGTCCCTGAGCGCCGGCTGCTTTGTGTCCTCCACGCTGCGCTCCACTCCTCTTTGTCCTGTTTGTCTTGCGGGTGGAAGAAGACTGCCAAATTCTTCCTCCTGGTGTTGTGAACTTGAAGTGCAGCAGGGGACTCTCACCCGCCGACACCTTGGGCGAATCGCACTGGCTCTCTGGAACTCATTTCCTTCTTCTGTTTTCCAGTGTGTGAAAGTGCTTTGTAAACTGCACGGCCTCCACAAACAACAGAGGTTCTCTTTGTGCCATTTGTTAGTGCCCTAGAACATTCTTATCAGGACAGCCTTTCTGGTTTTGCCGCCTCGTTGCTCAATCCTGTCGCTTGAGATCTTGATGTCTTCATCTATGACCGGGTTATTTCTTCACTTCCTCCAGAGACCAAAGCTCAGACAGGCCCCGAGCCCATGACCCCTAGAGAGCTTTGTCTGAAAGGAAGCCCAAGAGGGGTGCTTATTCTTGGAATAGTTGGTGATGTAAAGTCCACGGGGCTGGCAGAGGGACAGAGCTGCTCGCTGGAAGCAGAACTCCAGCAGGTCAACGCTACAATGAAAGCCCCATCCCTTCCCTTTGGGCTCTTCTGGGCCTCTTTAGTGGTGGGTGTGTCTCAGGCATGGAAAACCTGGGAGAGAAGGATTCATTTTGCCGAAGGAACCTATGCCAGGAAAAATGGAACGCCTCAGCTGGGTGTTTGAAAAGAGAACCACAGCCTTGCTAGTTAGTTGCTAATGTCTCATGAGTAATCACAGTGTACCAGGTCTTAGGCCGTATCAGTTTCCTTCTTGAAGGATCACATGTGATGTGTCCCTGTTTTCCATATAGGAAATTTCGTTAGACTTGGAGCAGTCATAGAGTTAGAATAGTTAGAGCTGCCTCACGGAGCGATAGTATCTTCCCTGTGTCTTCAGTGTGCCACGCACTTTGCACACGTTAATCTTTGACCTTGTGAGTAGCTGTAGATAACAGGTTTAGAGTTAAGGCATCGGTTGAAGATTTCACAGATGTGGCTGGCTGGATTTTTCAGTGGATAAAGACATGGTCACACCTGATGACCTGAGTTCTATCCCAGGAATTCACATCGTGGAAGGAGAGAACCAACTCCTGCAGGTTGTCCTCTGAGCTCCACATGGGTTGCCATGGCACCCCTCCAATAGATAAATAAATGTTATATAATATATATATATAATATTTAAATAAATAAGTAAATATGTATATGTATACACACACGTATAGATAGGTAGCTCTCAACCAGCTGGGAAGTAGCAGAGATGGAATTCAAAGTCACCAAAGCTTTTCTTTTCCTTCTGTAGCATAAGAACTTTATTCTTTTGATAAACACGACAGATTAAAAACTAACTGAACTGAATATAATGGTACCTGCCTATTATCCTAGCACTTGAGGGGTGAACAGGGAAATCTTGAATTTGGGGCCAACTTGGGCTACCCAGAGAGACCCTGCCTCAGAACAACCGAGGAGAAGAATTGGAAGATTTTAAAGCCTAAAGATAACAGAGCGAGTTCTTGCTGCCTGGGGAGCAAAGAACTACAGGGAGAAAGCATGACTTTTGTTGTTTATTTTCTGAGACAGGGTTTCTTTATGTAGCTGTGACTGTCCTGGAACTCGCTCTGTAGGCCAGGCTGGCCTTAAACTCAGAGATCCGCCTGCCTCTGCCTCCTGAGCGCTGGGATTAAGGGTGTGCGCCATCATCACCAGCTAAAGTTTGGTCTTTGCAGTGTGGAGTTTTCACGAAGGGGAAAGGCATACGTGTGTTAAAAATTAAATAGCACTTATTGGAGAAAGTAATTCTTTTAACAGTTAATTATTTGTGCGTGACTGAGCACCTGTGGACTGTGGTGAATGTGCGGGGCCAGCAGTCCGTCTCCTCTCCTTTCACAATGTACATTCTAGAAACTGAACACAGACCATCGGGCTGGGAGGCAGGCTCCTTTGCCTGCCGAGCCATCTTGCCTACATTAACCCGTGTGTTTCTGGGTGGCCATGGCGATTTGTGCGGTGAGATGGTGGTAAAGTCCACAGGGTACACTCAGGGTTTGTTGCGTGTGTGTGACCATGCGTGTCTGAATGACAGACCCTCTCTCAGAGATCCTCAAATCCTGTTGACCGGAAACACCTGGGACTTGAAAACATTAACTTGGAGCTGGGAGCGTAGCTTGTAGAGTGCTTTTTTTCTTTTCTCTCCCTGAAAATGGAGGAAATACAGTTAGGGATTGCAGCGAGGTTGGGTAGTAAGTTCATAAACCTCTGACATAGATTTCCCACGGATGTCATGGGAAGCAGGTCACCGAGACTGCCAGGCTAGACACTGCACCTAGCAGCCTCTGTGGGGAGTTCGGGGGAGGGGGCTGTGCTCAGAGCTGACAGGAGGGAAGGCCAGATTTAGCCAACTTGTCCCAGCAGACTAGGAGATCTCCCTGGGCCTGGCTGAGGGAGAGGGCCCCAGCTAGGCACTGCCATGAATTGTGGAGCCGAGGTGAGCAATGGACACCCCTGACTGACTCCCTTGCCGTTTATGATATCTCTTCGTGGCAGTTTGCAAGTGAGATTGGCCTTTAGCCCCCATCTTGTCCTTGGGCATCAGTCGACACGAGCTTGGGGAACTCAGGCTGGTTTCCGTTTAGCCCCAGCCTGGTCAGTTGTCGTTTTTGGTTTTTATTTTTATTTCCAAGCAGAACTTAGCTGCTGGGCCCTCTGAGAAGCCTGCCAGCATCACCAGAGCTCTCTACACCCCCACCTCTGTGACTTTCCTGATGCTCACCCTAGGACTGAGCTCAGCTGAGACCTAAATCCCCTTCCACAAAACCCTGACCCCGCCTCACCTTCACCTCCCTGCTGGCTCCCAGATCTGCACAGTTGCCAAACGCTATTGATTCTGCTCTTCTTGCCATCGACGAACGTAGCTAGATACTTGCTCCTGCCAGGTACCGTGCAAGGTACTTTAATTGCGTGGTTTCATTTATCTCCATAGCAACCACAGGACTGAGCCAAATCCCCTTATGCAGATACAGAATGAGGTTTAGAAAGATTAGGTTAAGATGCCCAAGCTAGATGGCAGAGGAGCTGGATTGCAGGCTTAGGTCATTCACGGAGGACTGCTTAGTTGCTAAGGCGCTTGTCTCACAGATGGGAGGACCTGAGTTCAGATCCTTAGGGCTCACAGGAGACAGAAGCAGGTGGATCTCTGAGTTCGAGGTTAGCCTGTGTACACAGCAGGTTCCAGGACAGTCTGGGCTACGTAGAAAGACCCTGCCATTAAAGAAGCAGCAGCCAGGGGCCAGTGAGGTGGGGAGATGCTTGCTGCTAAACATCTCTGGGACCCTCAAAATGGGAAAGAAACAACCCCTCCAGTTGTCCTCCGGCACCCACAAGCGTGCTGTCACGCATGTGTTTCCACACGTTAAATAAATAAAGGTAATTTTAGAAATGAAAAACAAACCAGACTTGATGGTTCACTACAACCTCAGTGTTGCTGAAATGAGAGCCAGCCAGGCAGATCCGGGAAGCCTGTGTGGCCAAGGTCTAGCTCAAGAGAGACCCTGCCTCAAAGGGTGGGGTTGGCCTTTGACCTCCGCATGCCTGCAGCGTGCATGACACAGATGCATGGGAAGGTGTACACACAGCCCCCTTCGGCTCCTTGCAGCCAGCACTGGCTGCCCCGTGTCTCACAGGCCTTTGGCTAACACTTCCCTGTCTTTCCTGCCTCCCCCTGCTCTCTGCTCCCACACTCAGGGGACACACGTAGTCTCTCCCTCTCCTCAGAACTCCAGTGGCATTTTGTCTCTCCTTTATGAGAGGATCTGCAGCAACTCTGCTGTCATGTGATCCACATGTGTCCTGTAGCTGCAGCCTTAGCTCTCCAGTGGGTGCCCCCAGCGGCAAAGGGGGAACCTTCCGGGACTCCTCCTCCTTCCCTCCAGCTGCACCGTCACTGCTGCCACAGAACTTAGCTCCCCTCCTCTTTGTGATAGTGCGGGTCTTGGAGTGTGCATCGGAAAGCCGAAAGGGGAAAACGGATAATAGAAAGAAAAACCATCTCCTCCCAACATCATTTCACAAGAGACTCTTTGGGGGCTCTCTGGGGTTTCCTTCTGGACCAGATGATTGGCAGTCAGGTGGTCTGTGTGTGGTGATGGTTATGCTGGGACCTTGAGCAGCTCACTGAGTCTCTAAGGACCTTGGCTTGCTCAGTGATGCATGCGTGAGTTTAGAGGTGGAGGCCAGGGGAGATTGCCAGGAGCCTTAACGGCAGCCACCTCTGAGGTCTCTTCTTGCCCAGGCTTGCTCCGACTTGCACACTGATCCTCCCAGAAGAGGAATCAGAATAATGTCAAAACAAACCACGTGGGCTCAGGACCCTGCCTGTGCAGTTGGTTTTGGCTATCACGGATAGGAATCTAAACTTTATTGCTTTAAACGGGGTGGGTTATGGGCTAACCCCCGCCTTCCCCCCTCCCCCCACCGCGTCCTAGCCAGGGTAACGCTCTCTGCCCTGGTTCACTGTCTGTAAGTTTGGTCCTGATACCTCCTTTCTCAGAGAGGTGCTGAGAAGGTTAGATGAAGCAGTGTCTGTAAGGAGCACAGTCCAGTGCTAGCAGAGGAAGCAGTAGGAGACGCTAGGTCTCAGTGGGTGCTTTTAGCCTTAAAAGGACAATGTTGTCTGGGCGTGATCACTACAGCAGTTACTGCTGGGTGAACACATGGTAGGTGTAGTATCAGCATGTGTTAATCCTGAGGCAGGACCTCGTGCGTCCCAGGCTGCCCTTGAACTCATGATGTGGCTCAATGATGCCCCTGACCTAATCCTCCAGCCACCACTTCCCCAATGATGGGGTTACAGGTGTTTATTACCACAACTGTGTTATGCAGTGATAGGAATTGAAACCAGATGTCCTTGAAGGCTGGGCAAGCACTCTACCAACTGAACCATGCCCCCAGCCCTTGTGTTTGTAGGTTTTGAGGGAACTGAGGATTAGCTCATGGCTATCCTCTCCTCACCCCACCAGAAGAAAACGAAGAATGCAGTCTGCAGGGCTGGGAGGGGAACACTTGCTCACACGTGCGCACACCGTCACAAAAACAGCAGCCACAAAGCCAGCCTGTAAATATTGGCAAATCGTGAGCGTAAATGATGCATTGAGTGGCCGACAGGAAGGTTGGGGTGATAAGGGCGCCAGGAAGTAGATAGGGTTGGCGCATGACCTAGAGGAGCAACAGCGAAGAAGAGACCAGCAAGAGGCTATTCTGTGTTCTGCTCTCCAGGCGGCAAGTTCAGGACGCGCAGGCTTTGATCCCGCTGGTGATGAGATGGGGACCGGACAGTCTGTGTGCTTCCCAGCCATCTCAGGACCCCACCATGTTGGCTGCACAGATGTGATGGAGGGTCAGAGTCCTGAGGTAGGTGTCCCAAGCTCCGTCCCTGCACTACCCCACGAGTCCCGCCCATGTGGGGTCTTCACCACTGTAGGTCCAAGCACAAAGTTCTGGGGGCCTGGGGTACAGGTGAGCTGGGCTTGGGTATCAGCCCTTAGGCCTCTTTTCCTGTCTTCCTGCCTTTTAAAAAATTCTTCTTTCAGCTGGGCAGTGGTGGTGCACACCTTTAATCCCAGCACTCGGGAGGCAGAGGCAGGCGGGTCTTTGTGAGTTCGAAGCCAGCCTGGTCTACAAGAGCTAGTTCCAGGACAGACTCTAAAGCTACACAGCAAAACCCTGTCTCGAAAAACCAAAAAACCAAACCAACCAAACAAAAAAACTCTTCTTTCAAAATATTAGAACCTTCCCAGTTGACGGGGAAACTCAGTTCTTTCTCAGGCGAGTGTAGGCGGAGGGGTGGGGGCACAGGGGCCCTGCATACTGGCCTGACTCTGTGCCTTGGGTGGGAGGATGGTATCTCCTGGTTTCATCTGCTTCCCACCTTCTGAACCTCCTGCCAGTTTCTAGGCGTTTCTTTCTCTTTGTTTCCCCCTCTTCTTCCTCCTTTTTAAACATTTTTTTTGAGACAGGTTTCTCATGTAGCTGGCCTCCAACTGGAAATGTAGCCAAAGTCAGCCCTAAATAAACCCCTGGTCCTCCCATCTCTGGGACTCCAGGCGTGTGCCACCAGGGCCCCACAGGTTCTTAGGTTTTTGTTCCTGATGGGTGGACTCTCCTCTGGCCTGTGAGAGACCCACTTCCTGGTAACCTCTCTCCTGCTCCCTTCTGACCAAGCATCCTGCTGCCTCCTGAGAGGCAGCCTGGGAGAATGGCCTGGGTGACCTAATGTGCCACCCTGTTCAACCGAAGAGCAAATCCAGTTCCGCCGTTGGCACCAAGCCTGGGCCCACGAGCGCGTGATGTTTTGGCGTGGTGCCGTTCCGGGATGTATTTAAAATGCAGCCTGACAACTGGAAGAACATTAGCTATATGTTCTTCATGCTCACAACAAATTGTCTCTGGGTTTGAGGAAGCCTTTGATTCTCTACGTTGCAGTCCAGCCTGGCTGGTGCTGGCTCCTGCTGACTCCCAGTGTCTAGGCTTCTTGGCCCAGTTGCTGCTCTCTTCTTTTCCCCAGGGGAGCTTCTTCCGACTCTTCTACCCCTGCCAAGCATCAGAGAAGTACGAGCAGCCCCTGTGGATTCCCCGCTATGAGTACTGCTTGGGCCTGGCTGACTACCTGCAGTATAACAAGCGCTGGGTGGGGTCTCTGTTCAACCTGGGCTTCGGTAAGGCTGCCTGGCCCGGGGCCCTTCCCAGTGGCCTGTTTCTGTCCCCAGGAGAAACCTAGGCAGACACAGTCATTTTAAGCTTGTACAGTCCAGTCCTTGGTATGGAGAGATGGGAGAGATTTGAATGTGTGAGAATTTGGGTCATCGCTTCCAATCCAGGCTTTGTAATGTACTGACAGGGGGCCTTAGGCAAGTTCCTTACCCTGTTCGCCTGCCAGGCTTTGTAGAGCTGTGGGGCCAGGTATGGGAAGAGCCTCTAGTGCAGCGTTTGGAGCATCAGATGGGGACATGGCTGCGATTCCTAAATCTAGCACGCATTCCTACCTGCTCTATAGATCACAGGACCTCATACATGCTAGGTCCGTGCCCTGCCACTGCCTCACATCCCACTAGTCGTGCGCTCCACTGCCACCCCAGCAGCTATAGCAGACAGTCTTGGTCCCAGGGAGCATCGCCACCCCTGCAGCATGCCCTCTGGGCCACTCTGCCTCCTTCATCCCAAGTCCCCACCCCAGGTGTCCCCATGATCCGGGCATCTTGCACATCTGCCCCAGACTTCTTCAGTACTGCCTCTGTGGATTTTTTCCCCCTGGTGAGAGGAGGACCACAAATGCCCACCCCTTCCTGTACTCAGGCTGCCCCTGGGATTGTAGTTCCGGGCAGCCAGAGATGCTACAGCCTATGTCTCTGCCAGGATCTTGTCGCTTGCCTGTTAGCTGGAATGGCCCCTTTAAGACAAAGGAATCTGGATACCCCTTGATCATCTTGTCCCATGGCCTGGGAGGCTTCAGGTAAGAGCTTTGTCCCTTGCATCGTGAGGGTTGTCGTGTCTTAATGCAGTCTCAGAGGGTCTAGTAACAGGTGTCTCACCTGCTGCCACCTTACTGCCCATCTGCCCGTTGGCATAGCTGGGCCTTCCCTCCCTAGACCCGGGCTTCTTCTTTTTTTTTTTTTTTTTTTTTCCGAGACAGGGTTTTTTTGTAGCTTTGGTGCCTGTCCCGGAACTAGCTCTTGTAGACCAGGCTGGCCTCGAACTCCCAGAGATCCACCTGCTTCTGCCTTCCGAGTGCTGGGATTAAAGGTGTGCGCCACCACCGCCCGGCTAGACCTGGACTTCTTAAGGCTTTCCACTTGTGACTCTCTTTTACTGGACATCATTACATGACCGCCCACTGTCAAAGTATGTAAAATAGGAATACAGGTCAAACATTTGCTGGTAAGAAATCATAAAGGAGCCGGGCGGTGATGACACATACCTTTAATCCTAGCACTCGGGAGGCAGAGGCAGGCGGATCTCTGTGAGTTCAAGACCAGCCTGGTCTACAAGAGCTAGTTCCAGGATAGTCAAGGCTACAGAATGAGTTCCAGGACAGCCAGGACTATGCAGAGAAACCTGTCTTAACCCCCCAAACAAGGAAATTGATTTTAAAATGATTTGGCACGCATATCATTTTACTACTCATTAAAAGCAAAAGCAAATTTGCCTCTATGAGCTGGATGGACTTGTTTATGCTGAGAATGTCGCTTACAGAAATACCTAGTACAAAATGACAGAACCATGCTTAGGGGCATTTCAGAAATTGGAAATTTCATCTTAATCCCAAGCCAAGATTCATTTAACACTTTTTTTTTATGTGTGTGAAACTCAAATTAGCATCCCAAACACCAGTCCTTTTTTTTTTCAAGATTTATTTTTATTCTTTTTAATTATGTATGTTGATTGCGTGTCCGCGTGTGGGTATGTGCCTGTAGCTATGTGCGTGTGATTTCGAGTATTCACGGAGGCCAAAGGTGTCAGGTCCTGTGGAGCTGAAGTTGCGGAGAGCTGTGAGCCACCTGATGTGGGGTGCTGGGAATCAAACTTGGGTCCTCTGGAAGAGCAGCCAGTGTTCCCTAACCACTGAATCATCTCTCCAGCCACCCCAGGTGCCAGTCTTTAAAAATCCAACATTCCAATCCAATCCAATCCAATCCAAAACTAGACTAACTTGATACCAACACATGGAGGAATGATGGTGGAAACACGAAAGGTCTTCGTTTTCTGTGATTAGGCCCAGAAGAACAGAGATCTTTGTACGGTAAAAACACTGTAATTCGTGGGACGCAGCAATATCAAATCTGCGCCCAGGTGTTTCCGGTAGCCTTTTTGACATAGCCAGGCACGATGGCATGGCATAGTACACGTGCGTGCAGAGCCCAAGGCGGCAGAGAAGTTTCCAGATACAGCTTGGGCAAAGCAGTGCCAGAAACACCTTGGATTCATATGCCATGGATTTTTAATTAATTTCCGGTCGTCTGGGGACATGCTAGCCTGTGCTACCTAACCTGCAAACCCTACCCCTGGCAGTTGTATACCACAAGGGCTGGAGAAAGTTCTAATACTCTCTGAGCCTGGGTTTCAACATCTGCCAACTGGATCCGTGGTCTCCCACGTGGTGGTTTATGAGATTTTTATTGGACTGGTTCCTGCTAGGTGCACAGCCCTCCAGTTCTCTCCCCGACATTGGGCTCCCAGGGCTCTTTCTGTCCACACCATGGGGTGTAGTCTGCTTGCTCTCCCTTAGGTGTGTTAGTGCACTCTCTGTCGGTTCATCCGTAATATATACACGCGGCTTTATATCCCAGAATGCTACACGTCTCAGACGCTGTCAACCCTCCAGCTCTTGTCTGCACTACAGGCAAGGAGATCTGTTTTCAAGATGGCGGAGTGTAGTGGCTCACATTGGTCAGTCTGGAAGGCAGAAGCTGCAGGGTCCTCAGTTCAGTGGGTGCTGTGTGGTGATGCCCTGTCTTACACCAAAAGAAGCCCGGATCTGACCTTGCTAGTATCTTGAAGAGTGCCTGGCAGATTGAGGTCTCAGTAAACATTTGTTGAGTACATCAGTGTTCTTCTAAATGAAACCTTTTTTTCTTTCTTTTTTCCCCTCCCTCCCTCCTTCTTTCTCTCTCTCTCTTTCCTTCCTTCTTTCTTTCTTTCAGAGTGTTAGATCCCCTGGGACTGGAGTTACAAATGGTTGTGAGTCACCATGTGGGCACTGGGAATCAAACCCGGGTCCTCTGGAAGAGCAGCCAGTGATCTTAACCACTGAGCCATCTCTCCAGGCCCTAAATGAAGCATTTTAATAGCTTTTTTAAAACTTAATTCTGTTTTTACATTTTCAAGTATTGAGATTGGAGGTGCACACTGCACACCTGGTTTGTCCCTTTCTGAGGGTGCCCATCCTGGCTTTTCTGTGAGACTGAGTTTCCAAGCACTCTATGTCCTTCTCAGTACTAAACACAATTGCAGCGTATTTGAAAAATGATTTATTCTAGTTTTTTAATTACATGTGCGTTCATGTGTTTTGTGTGTGTGTGTGTGTGTGTGTGTGTGTGTGTGTACCTGAACATAGGTACCTGAGGAAGACTGTAGAGCATCAGACCCCTGGAGCTGGAGTTAGAGGTGGTTGTGAGCCTCCCGAGGTGGATGCTGGGAATTTGGGTCCTCTGCAAGAGCCGTGCTCCCTCTTGGCTGCTGAGACAGCCCCACAGAGCATCTGTCACTTGTGTAATTGTGTTCCAGTGTCTGTCCTCCCTGCTAGAGTAGCCTCTGTGAAAGCAGACACCACGCCTGTCTTCTGTGCCCCCATGCGTATGACAGTGTCTGGAGTCAGTTTCCCAGGGAATACTCATTCGTAAAGGAACACAGGGCTGTTCTGCTGGATCCCATTCATTCACCAACCTCTCTTAAGTACCGGCTGGGTGCAGCCCCCTTGGCACAAAAGGAAGGTGGGAAATCCAGACATAGACACATTCAGAAAGTCACTCATGCTAGAGGAGCTGGTGTACAAACGTCACTGGCCAGTTAGCGATGGCAGCAAGTGGCGTACAGACAAAGCAACTAGATGGACCCAGTGGAGATTAGGTGTGAAGCTAAGGCTGGGAGGCGAGCGTGTGGTTTTCTATTCTGGTTTCTTTTGTAGTAAACTGATAGCGAGCCTGCTTGTGAGTATGAGAGTCACACTCAGCCTTCAGAGCCGGGTGCGTGTGTGTATGTGCGTACGTGTGCATGTGTGCGTGTGTGTGTGTGTGTGTGTGTGTGTGTGTGTTGGCCTATCAGAGAGAAGAAACTAGGAAACAGGCATTCCCCACTCATGGCTACGCTGGAGAGAGCAGTGAGCACGTGATCTGGAGGTGACCCTTTGACTAGGAAGCTAGGGACAGTCCAGCCCTCAGTAGACCAGAGTGAGCCCGTACAGACGTCCTTCATTAACCTGAGTGAAATTCCAAGAGGAAGAGGGAGGGGGTCAAAGAACATTTTCCTTTTAGTTTCTCTGGTTAATTTCACCTTGAAATTCTTCCCTTGTTCACGGATGGGTAGCTTCCCATGCGAGGGAAGAGCCTGAGCTGTAAATACTGCCTAGCTGGCTTCCAGAATGCCACTGCTCCCTGTGCTCCCAGGGAGGAGCCTGTGCCTGTAAATGTCACCTAGCTGGCTTCCAGAAGGCCACTGCTCCCCGTGGTCCCCACACGGCCCCCTGAAGTAGGCAGATAGGCATGCCTGGACCCTGAGCAGCGAGCAGCAACTTGTCTACATCACACAGTACACACCGGGAAGGGATGCAAAGTCATTCATCCAGTTCACTGCCTCTCTGGAAGCCTGGGAGACGCTGGAAGGAAACCTTAGAAATCGGCTCTCCCTTGGTTGTGAAGGTATGTTTAACAGACCACACCAGATATGAGGGTCTAGAGCATGATCAAATTCATTCATTCCCCGGGCACATTGTACACGCCCATACTCACGGCCCCCGAGAGGCCCAGAGCATCGCAAGTGTAAACTAGGCATAGGCTGCAAAAGAAGAAAGCAACACCCACTCACAAACAAAACGTCTTTATTTCTCTCTCAGTTAAAGGCAGCTAGAAGGGCAGGCACAGGGGCATCTGCTGATAACCCACCACTTAGAAGCTAGAAACAGAAGGATCAGGAGTTCAAGGTCATCTTCTGCCAAACAGTGATTTTGAGACCACCCTGGACTACATAAAGCCCTGCATCAAAACACAAAGAAGTGGCTGAGGGGAACCAAAGACAGACGTTTAGGGCTGACGTCACAGTTACATGAATGTATCAGAGAACCAGACTTTATAATCTTTTTTTTTTTTTTTGATTTTTCGAGACAGGGTTTCTCCGTAGCTTTTGGTTCCTGTCCTGGAACTAGCTCTTGTAGACCAGGCTGGCCTCGAACTCACAGAGATCCGCCTGCCTCTGCATCCTGAGTGCTGGGATTAAAGGCATGCGCCACCACTGCCCGGCCAGACTTTATAATCTTGCTCTACTATGTATGGCTTCCATTATAAAGTTATCTCATGCCCTATGGGGGCTGCTTTTGTTCCAATCTATGTCTGCATCCCAGGCAATCTAAAGGAGCACTCTATTTTTGAAAGAAAATCTCTGGGATACTCTTATGTGATGCAGCTTCATTTGTTAGGACTGTTTGATCTATAAGCTGTCAGCTCTGTGTGAGTCTTTAAGGTTTAAAAGATGGTTGGTCAGTGCTAAGAAATGCTTCCGGTGTAAAATGTGCACCAGAGTACAAAGTCTGCATGGGAGTAAAAGTCTGCAATAACATTTCATTTATTAAAAGTTTTATTATAGGGGGCTGGAGAGATGGCTCAGTGGTTAAGAGCATTGCCTGCTCTTCCAAAGATCCTAAGTTCAATTCCCAGCAACCACATGGTGGCTCACAACCATCTGTAATGAGGTCTGGTGCCCTCTTCTGGCCTACAGACATACACACAGACAGAATATTGTATACATAATAAATAAATAAATAAATATTTTTTTTTAAGTTTTATTATATTTAGAAATTAGAGTGGGTTATACAGATTACAGCAGGTGAAATAAGGTAAAAGTATAACAGGCTATTATAGCTTAAATAAAATAGATCAGTAAAGTTAGACTTCTTTTTGCTTTTTTTGTTTTTTGTTTTGTTCTGTTTTCTTTGTTTTGTTTTGGTTTTAGTTTTTTGAAACAGGGTTTCTCTGTGTAGCCCTGGCTGTCCTGGAACTCACTTTGTAGACCTGGCTAGCTTTGAACTCACAGAGATCCGTCTACCTCTGCCTCCCAAGTCCTGGGAGTAAAGGCATGCACCACCACTGCCCATCTCTTCTTTTTTACTTAAGAAATAGATTAAAAATATTTTTTTAGTTGTTTGTGTCTGCGTGTGTGTATATGCACTTGTGTGCAAGTGTCCACTGTGGCCAGAAGAGGGCACCAGATCCTTTGGAACTGGAGTGATAGGCAGTTGGAGTAGCAAGTGCTCTAATAGCTGAGCCGTCTTCTTCAGCTCTCAGTTTCTTCTTACTTGTTTTGAGACAAGATCTTGATGCATAGACAAGGCTAGCCCTGAACTCCTGACCCCACCTTCGTGTCTCAAGTGCTAGGATAGCACGTGTGTACTAGCATGTTTGGCCTGCCTGCCTGTCTCCCTTTCTTCCCTCCTTCCTTCCCTCCCTCCCTCCCTCCCTCCTTCCTTTCTTCCCTTCCTTCATTCCTTTTTTGACAGCAACTCATGTAGCACAAGGTAGTTTGTACTTACTATATAACTAAGGATGACTTTGTACTCCTGATATTCCTACCTCTGCCTTCCAAGTTCTGGGGTTATAGTTATATGCTACCTCAACTGGCTAAAATACCTTTTTCTTTGTATTTTTTGCAGTCCTGGGAATTGAACCCAGAGCCTTGTGCATGCTAGGCAAATGTGCTACCGCTGAGTTACAGCCCATCTTTTTTTAAAAAATGTGTATAGGTGTTTTGCTTGCATGTATATCTGTATACTACATGCATGCAGTGCCTCTGGAGGCCAGAAGAGGGTCCCAGATCCTTTGTAACTGGAGTTACAGATGGTTGTGAGCCACTATGTGGGCGCTAGGAGTCAAACCTGGGTCCTCCAGCAGACCAGTCCGTCTCTTAACTGCTGAGCCAGCTCTGCAGTCATCCCAATGTCCCTTTTTAATGTTAAAAAACATGACTGCTTGAAAATTTTCAATTGCTTTTGATTTGTCTGTGTGTTTAAAATTTATTATCATCACTTGGTGCTGTGGACTCATTGGTGGAAGGTAAGAACAGCTGTGTGGAGTAAGGGCTCTCCTATTACGTGCGTCCTGGGGACCACGTTCAGGATCCTAGGCTGGTGAGGCAAATGCCTCTACCTGATGAGCCTTCTTTCCGGTCCTTGTGTGGTGTTTGTCTGTGGTTTGTTTTTGAGACAGGTTTCTCTGTGCTGTAGTCCTGGCTGTCCAGGACTCACTCTGTAGACCAGGCTGGCTTCAAACTCACAGAGATCTTCCTGCCTCTGCCTTCCAAGTGCGGGTGTTAAAGGTGTACACCATCCCCACCTGGCCCCTTATGAGGTTTTAAAAAGTATTTATGCTGAGTACTGTGACACATGTTTTTAATCCTAGCACTCAGGAGACAGAGGCAGGCGGATCTTTGTGAGTTCAAGGCCAGCCAGGGTTACATACATAGAGAGGTCCAGAACAGCCTGGGCTATCCAATAAGACTCTGCTCAGTGGGTTTAGTACTTTCTGTACAAGCATGAGACTGACTTGAGTTTGATCCCCAAAGCCTGTGTAAAGTCTGACCATGGCCACACACACCTGCAACCCCAGTTCAGGAGTGGATGAGGCAGGAGGCTCCTTGGAACTCTCTGGCCAGCTAGTCTCACAGAATCCATGTATTCTAGGTTTAATGAGAAACCCTGACTGAAAATAATAATAATAAGGTAGAAAGTGATTGAAAAAAGACACCCGACAACATGGCCTTCACATGCAGACACACACGTGTACATACATGTTAACACACAGGAACGTGTCCACACAAATCCATTAGCATAGTTAGAATCTAGCTGGGGTTGGGGTAGACTGACTCAATGGGGTGGAAAGGCAACTCGGGTTGAAGATTGACTTGCAAACGCCCTGCCTTCCGGGATGGACCCCGGAGCCCTGGGATGAGGGCTGCCTTGTCTGGGGAGAGTACTCAGAGGACCACCCGTGACAACTACCTAGCCAGTCTTTTGAGGTGACCGCCAGCAGAGTGTGGGTGAAGCTGGGCCGTGGTTTTGATCTCTTCTCTCCGTGGCTCTCCAGGGCACTGTACTCGGCCTTCAGCATGGAGCTGGCCTCCCGGGGCTTCGTGGTTGCTCTCCCGGAGCACAGGTTAGCGGATTCCAGTCAACTGCGGTCAGGTGGATGCCTGTGAGCTAGGGTACAGGCTAGTCACTGTTAATGTGTTATTTCTGTAGTTCTGTTTGTGGTGCTGGGGCCTCAGACCCACACGCATAGCAAACATTCTGTCCCTGAGCCACATCCCTGACTCCCCGCGTATTATTTCTAATGACCACACAAAACAGTTATCATATCCATTTAAAAGATGCTCAGTAGCTGGCTGAAAGTGACAATGGGCTCAAACCCAGGTCTGTCCCCAGCCCTTCTGCTCCCCTACGCATGCCCCCATCTCCTTACCTGCCAGCCAAGCAGAGAGCCCACGTATCATGGTCGGAGGGGAGGGCGCGGATAAAGGGGAGAAATAAGCTCACCGCTGTCTTCTTTCTGGTTGCACGTGTGCTTCAGGGACCAGTCAGCTTCGACCACCTACTTCTGCAAGCAGACCCCGCAAGAGAGCCAGCCCACTGAATCGCTGGAGGAGGAATGGATCCCTTTCCGCCGAATCAAGGAAGGGGAGAAGGAGTTCCACGTTAGGAATCCCCAGGTAGGCTTGTGCCAGGTGGCATAGTCGCAGTACCACGATCAGAATGGCGAGGTGGATTCACACCCTCTGTCGTTAATCCAAAGATGGGACCCAAATCATCACGGCCAAATTAAAGCAAGCCAGTAATTAAAGTAAGCTTTTTTACTCCTGTACACGGGCTGCCTCCCCAAGGTAAGTTTCAAGACATTAGCCTTAGATGTGAGGAAGCCAAGTCTTTTGCAGCCTGTGGGTTTCTAAATGGGGGGTTTGGTGGGCAAAGTTGTTGAGAATAAGCGTAACAAGTTAGTCCCTCCCGGAACAAAGACATGGCTGCAAAATGGGCCTAGCAAGGCGGTCACAGTCATAACAACGTAGTCATAGTCATAACAAGGTAGTCGTAGGCGGTCATATAATCTTTTGAAGTGAAGAAGGGTTGTGAAATGGTTATAAAGAACTGTTTGAAGCAAAGACATGACTGCCGTTCCGGAACAGGCAGTACAGACCATTGCAGTGAGGCTTACAGGTGGGGCCTAGGTGAGAAACAGGTATAATCATAAACAGGAGCGAACCGAGTTTGTCTTTACTGTAAGATGGCTTTTACACCTAAGATGGAGGCCGGCTGGTTCTACAGCATATCGTGGTTCTGGCCATCTTTCCGTCTCTCCAGCGCATACCTGAAGCTATCACCTTACAAGGGAGCAGCGTTTTTAGTTCCTAGTTCTGGAGATGGCAGCCCAACGTCAGGTGGACCTATTGCTTGGGGCCTCTGGTGAAAATCCCAGATGGCAGGGAAGGTGGGGTGTAGTGACCTCCCCAATCCCTCTTCAGGGCAGGTCCCCAGTGACTTAAAGACCTCCCACTGAGCCCTGCCTTCTAAAGACTCCACCTTCTAATAGCATCCCCAGGGGGAGCAGGCCATTAACATGAACCTTCAGTCAACCACAAGCAAGACTTTTAACCACTTTTCTTTCTCAAAAGCCTCAGTGTAGTGGCCTGAGCTCCCCACATCCGTGAGAATAGATTAGGTATGACTCACAGGGCTACTGAGGTTGACAGAGTCCATTTTAAGCCTGCTTAGGTGGCAGCAGAGCTGATTGGCTCACGTTGGTAGGAGGTGAGGTGAGTGGGACCTCTGGGGCAGCCTCACAGCCATGGAACTTGCTCTCAGAGGGGGCCAGTCCATCCCTGTCTCTGCATAACTCCCGTCTGCAGGCTGACTTTCTTTCTGAGCTCCTGCCAGACCCTGCCTGCTGATAGTTAGCCATCAGCAAGGGACCAGGCTCTGGGTGTTCCCTGGTGCTCCATCGCAGAGCCAAGCTCAAGTGTGCAAATTCCTGGTAAAGGATTCCTAGCCTGCAGAGAAAGAGGCAAGAGAAAAATTCCCACCAAATAAACCCATTGTCTGGTTGTTAGGGGCGGGGCGGGGTCAGTCCTTAAAAGGCGGGGTTAACGGGAGAAGGGGTGGCAGACAAAGGCTTGAGAATAATAAGAACTCTGACAGCTCCTTCTGTTGGCAGAATGTTCTCATGCACATCTTCTCGTGTGGCCGTCCTGGTGGGCCTGCGGGTAGGCTAGTGGAATCCAAACTCCTGGGTCCACTCTCTACGATCTCAGTATCCGTGTGAGCTGCAAGGGACCACAGTGTCTGCTGAGATGCAGTGGGCAGACCCCCTCTCCTGCTGAGTTCTGTGGGGGCTGAGTTGTGGTTATGGGATGCTCCAGCAGACTGGCTGTGTTGCAGGTTCACCAGCGGGTGAGAGAGTGCGTGCGGGTGCTGCAGATCCTGCAGGACGCCTCTGGCGGGAAGACGGTCCTCAATATCTTTCCTGATGGATTGGACCTGATGACCCTGAAGGTACGACAGCAGTTGGGATGGCCCAGAGCTACCCCTTCCTCACAGCCTTACTGGCTCACAGCCACCAAGAGCACCGGGAGACATCAGGTTGGCATAGTGGGATCTAGGGTCTCAGACTTGGCAGCTCTGCACCCTGATGCCCCCTCTGTAGGCTCAGTTTCCCTGTGCATGTGTGCCCTTCATTCTCACCAGATTCCAAGCAAGAAAGATAGTTGCTAAAACCCAGGCCTGTGCCCAAACAGCCCCAGAATCCAAAAGAAAAGTCTCTCTCAGCTTCTAGGCTGTGGCTTGTGTGGATGACACAGTCTGCATGGCCTAGTCGCTGTGCCAGGCGAGAGGGTATTCGGGTTGGCCTGCCTGAGCTATGCCACTTTTCCGGTCAGAGGAGCTAGGACACCAGGACGAAGGGTCCCACTCTGCCACATGGCTAGAGGGGACAGTTCCTTCGCAAGGGCAGGGTGTTGAGGAACAGCAACTTGTCTACTTCAGGCAAGTAGCTAAGAAGGCTTCTAAGGGAGTCCCAAGACCCCTCCTAGAAGGCATGACATTGTCCTGGCTGTGGACTTGGTGGCTGGGGAGGTACAGTTTCTGCCTTCCAATCCCTTTTCTCCCCTAATCTTTTTTTTCCCTCTAATGTCAAAACAAAATGTAGTAGCACCCCCCCCACACACACACACAGTGTTTTTTTTTCATGTTAGCTAGTTTTAAACAGGGTCTTGATTCATATCCCAGACTAGTTCAGAGCTCATTATGTAGCCCAGCCCAGAACTCATGGCGGTCTTCCCGCCTCAATCTCCCAAGTGCTGGATCATCATCATCTTCATCTTCATCTTCATCATCATCTTCTTCTTCTTCTTCTTCTTCTTCTTCTTCTTCCTCTTCCTCTTCCTCTTCTTTCTTCTTCTCCTTCTCTTTCTCCTCCTCCTACTCTTCCTTCTCCTCTTCCTCCTCTTCTTCTTTTTTCTTTTGAGACGGGGTCTCATGGGTCCCCGGCTGGCCCCAAGCTTACTGTGTAGATGAGACTAGCCTCAAACTCTTGGTCCTTCTGCTTCTATCTTTTGAGTACTGGGATTTCAGGTATGCACAGCCAGGTACTGCTTATGGCATATTTTGAGTGTTCATGTAATATTCTACTGTGTGAATAAAAATTCTGCTGTGGAAGGGCTCCCCACATAGACTCACAAAGTCGGCATCATGCCTCTGTACACTGAGTGAAGACCATCATGAGTCTGATTTAGTTACGAACGTGGTAGAGGAGCCGCAGAGATGGCTTGGCTTGTGGTTAAGGACTCGGGTTTGATTCCCAGCACCCACACGGCAGTTCCCAACTGTCTGACACTCTAGTTCCAGGGGATCCAGCACGCTTTTCTGGCTCTCATGGGCACCAGGCACACAGACAAAATACCCATGCACATAAAATACAATTAAAATTTAAAAAGAAAAGAAAATGGCACCAGTTTTAACCTGGGACTTTTGTTCCCAAAAACCTAAGTTTTATGTCTCAACACCTCTTGAAAATCCCACATGCCCGTGTGTGAGGCAGAGTCTGGACTCCAGTGGGCATTGGTGACTGCCTGCTGAGTGGAGAAGCAGGTGCCCCAGTGCTGAAGTCCAGACCACCTGCCTGAGATCTGAGCCAGGCACTGAGCAGCAGCAGCCACTGTCCAGGTAGATCTCAGAGGAAATGCGAAACCAACCAGCTCCCCCTCTCTCTCCCTCCCTCCCTCCCTCCCTTCCTTTCTCCCTTCATCTCTCTCTCTTTTTTTTTTATCCACCAATTTCCAGTCTGTAAATTTATCCTGTATTGTTCCTAAGAGCGAACAGTTGGGAGGAGCCACCTGTTCCTCTCAGAGCCCCTGGGAATGCTAATTGCTAGGACCCCTAGACCCCTCTCAGTGTCTTCACCCAATAGAAACGTCTCTCTTGTCTACTGTTCACAGGGTGCTGGGGGGTGGGGGGCAGGAGGCACTCCAGGGCTCCAGGCTCCTTTCAGAACTGGGATTAAACTTGGAGCTTGGTACAAGCTAGAAAGCTGCTCCACCACTGAAATGCATCCAGCCCTTGGCTCCCTTCATCCGAGGGGTTCTGCCCTCTGCACTCTTGAACTCACTTGTGCTACATGCATTAGGCCTGCAGAAGGGCATGGGCTACATGCATTAGGTCTGCAGAAGGGCATGGGCTACAATGCATTAAGTCTGCAGAAGGGCATGGACTACATGCGTTAAGTCTGCAGAAGGGCATTGACTACATGCGTTAAGTCTGCAGAAGGGCATGGGCTACATGCATTAGGCCTGCAGAAGGGCATGGGCTACATGCATTAGGCCTGCAGAAGGGCATGGGCTACATGCATTCGGCCTGCAGAAGGGCTTGGGCAGGGAAGCGCCTGAGAGCTTTTATAGATGTCCTTGGAAGTTAGACTTTCAAATATATATATTTATTTTTGTTATTTGAGGTCATGTGTTAGTGTGTGCACCTGCATGTGGGTGTGTACAAGTATAGAGGCCAGAGGTGTGGATTCCCCTGGAGCTGGAGTCACAGGCAGTTGTGAGAAGCCAGACTTGGGTACTGGAAGTCAGATCTGGGTCCTCTGCAAGAGCAGCAAGTGCTCTTAACCAAACTTTCAGCTTTGAAAGTTAGACTTTTGCTCATGCTGTTAGCTAGGACTCCGTCACATGGAACTGCAAAGAAATGGTCTCGTTGTGTGTCTGGGGACAGATTTATTGAGCAGCCAGCTGTCGGTTTCCGAGTGATGTCAAGCGTAGCCATAGGGAAGGACGAGGCAACCCCTCTGTACTAATACTGCTATGCATGGACACGCACTGGAGGAGCACCTGTGGGGAGAAGGAGGAGTGCCCATCCTGTCTGCTTGTCTTCCCAGTGACAAGGTCTGTGAGGACACTGAAGAAACCTTCACTGGTTGGGAGCAGGAAGCAGGCAGCTGGTGGAAAGGAAACTGGGGATGGGAGACTTCTCTACAAACCTGAGTTTGGAGGCCTGCGAACAGTCACTTAGGTTTTAAAAGCTAAAAAGCCCATTCACACCGGACGGTGCTGGCACACACCTTTAATCCCAGCAGTCAAGAGGCAGAGGCAGGTGAGTTTCTGTGAGTTCAAGGCCAGCCTGGTCTACAGTGCTAGTTCCAGGACAGCTAGGGCTGTTACACAGAAAAAAACCTGTCTGGCAAAACAAAACAAACAACAATAAAAGATCCCCTCCTTCCCGGTGCTTCTCTCAGCCGAGGGGGAGGATGGACACCTTCCCTGGGCTAGACGTTGAGGAGAGCAGGGCTTCTGAACACAAAGCCCGGGGAGATTTCCCCAGCCTCTTAGCAGGCGTCAGCGGTGGCTTTTTATAGAGCCACGCTTCAGAGGATTCTGGGATCAACCCGGAATAGATGCAGAGCAGTGAGAGCGCACAAAGCCTCCCTGGCCTGTGGGTAAAAATCAGGACAGCCGTGCAGAGGACCTGACTTGCTGTCTGCACAAGTGGGCCTCACTCCAGAGCTAAATGGGGAGGGGGGCGGGAGTTCCCTGTGCTCCCCTCTGTGCGCTCTGTGGTATCCTCCAGGACCAGCTTGTGAGGCTGGAACTGTGGACCAGTGGTTCTCAACCTTCCTAACACTGCAACCCTTACAGCTCCTCATGTTATGGTGACCCCCAACCATAAAATTATTTTATTGTTACTTCATAACTAGTTTTGCTACTATAATGAATCATAATGGTAATTTTTTTGGAGGTAGAGGTTTGTCAAAGTGGTCGGACACACAGGTTGAGAATCACCGCTGTAGAGGATGAAGGGGGCTGCTTCTCAGTGTGTTTTCTGATGAGCTGGTGGAACCCTGGCAACACATTTGAACGCTTGCCCTCAGCAGATAGTAGTGTTAGCAGGGGGATTACAGAAGTCAAGCTGAGCCGGTGTGGGGGCACACACCTTTTTGTTTATTTGTATTTTGAGATGGGGTTTCTCTGTGTGGCTTTGGAGCCTATCCTGGAACTCACTCTGTAGGGCAGTCTGGTCCTGAACTCACAGAGATCGGCCTGCCTCTGCCTCCTGACTGCTGGGATTAAAGGCATGTGCCACACCTTTAATCCCAACATGTGGAGAGAGATCTCTGTGAGTTTGAGGCCAGCCTGGTCTATACAGCGAGTTCCAGTGCAGTCAGAACTGTTACACAGAGAAACCCTGTCTTGAAAAAACAAAAGAAACAAACAAAAAAAATACCCTGTCTCGAACTCCTGCCTCTGCCTCCTTCAGCACATCCTATTGGCATGCGCCACCACAACCAGCAAAAAATACCCTGTCTCAAAACAAAACCAAAAAGCATAGTCCCTTTAAGGTTGCTCACACCAAAGATCAAAAGAAAGGGAACTCTTCAGGTGACAGAAAGTCCCCTAGTCCTCTTTTGCTTCTCTTTGCCATGCTGGGTGTCAAACTTGTAGGCTTTTCTGTGCTTTTTGCCACTGAGCTACACCCCAGAGACCAGAGATTCCTCTTTTTCTTTTTTTTTAATTGTGACAATGTCTCACTATGTAGCCCAGGCTGGTCCTGAACTAGGGACCAGTTGTGTAGTAGGGAGGGCCGCTAGTTGGTTCCTGGCCGCCCAGCTAGCTTAGAAATAATTCACATAATCACACATAAAATGTATTAATTAAATCACTGCTTGGCCCATTAGCTCTAGCTTCTTATTGGCTAACTCTTATATTAATTTAACCCATTTCTATTAATCTGTGTATAGCCATGTGGCTGTGGCTTACCTGCTAAAGTTCCGGCGTCTGTCTTCGACAGGGCTACATGGTGTCTCTCTGACTCTGCCCTTCTTTCTCCCAGCATTCAGTTTAGTTTTCCATGCCTAGCTAAATTCTGCCTGCTATAAGTCCAAAGAAGTTTCTTTATTCATTAATGGTAATCACAGCATACAGAGGGAAATCCCACATCACCTCCCCTTTTCTGTTTAAATTAAAAAAGAAAGGTTTGAACTATAACATAGTAAAATTACATATGACAAAACAGGTATAAAACAAGAATTACAGTTACAATATTTATATCTATTTTATCTTTTATTGTAACTAAGGAAAACTGTAACTATA